GGGGTTACCAGATTCCAAAGAAAGTCTCTGTATGAAAGACAGACACCAAGAAAGAATCCCAGAGAAAAGAGAAACAATGTAGGGAGCAAAAAATCTACTTAAAAAAAAAAAAAAAGAAGAAAGCTTTTACTATCCTCAGAGAGTTAACAGAAGAAACAGTATTGATACCAGAACTGGATACTACAAAGACAAATATCAGAAAAGGAAAGAGCTAGGAGGAGGACACATGCAGGGACTCAAACAAATTTAACAGAAAGATTGGAAGATAAAGTTAAAGACATCACTCAGAAAGTAAAATAGAAACAGAGACAGAAAACCAAGACAGATAGATAGATAGATAGATAAATAAGTAAATAAAATAAATAATCAAGGTTCTTGGGAATTCCCTGGCAGTCCAGTGGTTAGGACTCGGCACTTTCACTGCTAGGGCCCAGGTTCAATCCCTAGTCAGGAACTAGGATGCTGTAAACCACGTGACACAGCCAAAAAAAAAAAAAGGAATTCTAGAATGACGATTTTTAAATAATAAAATGAGACAATTCTCCAGAACTGAAAGATAAGAATGTTTATATTGAAAGGGTTCAATGAGCACCAGGAACAAAGAATGAAGACCAACTCCTTGGCACTTCACTGTGAAATTTCTCAACAGCATGGATAAATGAGAAGAGTCTAAAAAGCTGCTAGAAAGGTGGAGGGAAAAGCCATTTACACTGTTTTACTCTAGACTTTGTAACTACCAATATCGGAAAACCCACTATGATCTTAATCTTGAGTTTCCCACTCTCTAACCACCTCCTCCTAACTTTCCCACCCACCCACTCTAGAATCCCAGTAACTATCTGAACTCACCGGGATCCATAGCCATTGATCCCACCACCTTCTTATGGTCTGCCTTCTCCCTCAAGTACTTACTTCCTACTTAAATCTATTGTCTTTAATTGAAATCACTCCCTTGGGTATTCCAAATCAATGCCCTTGCTCTGTTTCCATTTCACTACTTACTATAATAAAATCCCAACCATCTACAAATGCTATGCCTGTGTCTGGTTAACTGAATGTTGCTGGACAGTAAATTACATCCAGGCTGTCTATTCCCGATTTAAATCCATGATCAGTAACCTCAGGGAAGTGTTAAGGCTGCCTGGTAATTCTACTATATTTCTCAGTCCATTCACTCTCCTACTAACCTGTTAATTACTGTAACTTTCTCAGATCTCTAATATCTCCTATCTCCTTGACAGTCACATTCTTAGTTGGTAATCTTGCTTTCTATTTTACTGAAAAAAGAGCTGCAATGAGAAGAAAACTTCTCAAGCTCCCACCCTCATATAGAACCACTCACCTGCAGAATATTGGCATAGTACCCTCTACTTTCCTCCTACTTCTAAGGACTGTCCACGTTATCCAAAGACAATACCTCTACCACCCCCCTCACCCATTCCAGCACGTCTCCTCAAAGCACCATTTTCACCCTTTCCCTTAAATTATTCCCATTAGCAGACAAACATGTTGGTATTTTGCCCATCTTTTTTTTTTTTTTTTTTTTTTTGCGGTACGTGGGCCTCTCAGTGTTGTGGCCTCTCCCGTTACGGAGCACAGGCTCCGGACACGCAGGCTCAGCAGCCATGGCTCACGGGCCCAGCCGCTCCGCAGCACGTGGGATCTTCCCGGACCGGGGCACGAACCCGTGTTCCCTGCATCGGCAGGCGGACTCTCAACCACTGCTCCACCAGGGAAGCCCTTGCCCATCTTTTAAAAAATATCTTGGCCTGACATCTCCCTGTAGCCACTACCCCATTCATCTGTGCCGTGAAAGCGCTATCTTGCTGTTTTTAACCTCTACCCACCTATTCTCTCTTGAACTAATATGTTACATCATATGCATCGGTACTGCAAGGTATTTGAAAGATATGTTGGATCAATTTGCAGAAAATACATAGAACCATGAGAAAGTTGAAAAAAAACCCCACAAAACTTGAGGCAACTATTAATTCTAGAAAAAATAAAAAATTATATAAGAAAATAAATTATTGTGGTCCAACACTGAACAACATTTACATAGCTTGATTAAGTTAAAAAAATCTAACTTTAACCAAATATATCATTGCAATAGAAAGGCTGAGGAAAGGAAAGTAGATGTGGAAGTGAATCATAAGAAAGCTATATCCATCTTCCATAAGGGGAAAGTCAGTGATGTCTACAATTATAAATCAGGAGATAACCAAAAGACTATCAGAAAAAAGAGCCTAGAAAATTGAAAGTAGGAGCCTTTGATTAATGGTACTGAATGATAAAGAGGAGGCAAAGAAAGTCTGATTTCAGTTACAAGCTTTTTAGTATTATTTGACTTTTTAAGCTATACGCATGTATTACTTTGGAAAATAATTTTTTAAGGCAGTAAAAAAACAGTCTCAATTAAGTACCAAATGACAGATACAAGTGAGTTCTTCTGTAGTTCATGTTAGGGGAGAGATCCCTAGGGGCCTATGAAAATAACTATGGGGAAAAATGAACTTGAAAGAAAAACTTGACTTGAAAGAAAACTGTAATATTAAAACAAACAATTATTTCAAAAACCAAAATAATCTTCAGCTGTGAAAAGCTAGCCAAAACCAAGACAGAAGATGGAACTAACATCCCCAAATCCCAAATATGGGATAGCTGCTTCTATGACAATAGGTAGCATTTTCATCAAAGAGTTAAATCAGATGAATTTTATGACTGGTGCCTGTATTTTTAAATATATATAAAATAAGGATTTTGGTGTTTTTCTGGTCTAAAAATTAAGAACCATCCTAGAGAGACAGGTCTCATCTACAGTGGACTTCTACCACAATCATTCTATTTAAAGACTTGATTAGAAACTGTTCACTAGATGTAAGACGTTCTCTTGGTTATAATTCATTAATCTAATTTGTCTGTTCACAGGAGTTCCCTGGCGGTCCAGTGGTTAGGATGCGGCGCTCTCACTGCCAAGGGCCTGGATTCAATCCCTGGACGGGGAACTAAGATCCCAAAAAGTCATGCGGTGTGCATCCCACCCCCCACAAAACAGACAAATAAAACAGAAAAAACCCACAAAAACTAATTTGTCTGTGCAGTAAAAATGCCATTCTTCCATCACATAAATTTTCATGAGTATCTTTTATGTTCACAATGTCCTTGTGATGTAAGTGCATGATATAGATTATCCCCACTCTCTTCTTTCAGGGAATTCTTTCCACTATATAATTCTACTACATTGCTAGTCTTATCCTCATGACAGCAATTAAAACTGTCTCTTTAACATATAGGAACTCTTTATCTCCTACTGACTCAGAATGAATTAAGTCTCTGAATCACCAACACCACTTTCTGGTGCACTCTGGGTTTCCTTTAGTGCTCTTACTACCTCAATAGGAAAGATACATCACATTCCCATAAAAGGGCAAGAGAATGCTGATGGAAAAACTTTAGTTTCTAGTGGGCTGAGAACAGTACCAAGTGATAAAAATAATAACTAGACTAGAGTTTTAAGTTTCTTTAGGAATATTATACTATAATAAACCTGTAATAAAACCAACTTTCTAGAGAAACTTCAGTTTTTTACCATATGACCCAGCAATCCCACTCCTGGGTTATCTTAGAGAAATAAAATTTTATGTTCACACGGAAACCTGTACAGGAATGTTTATAGCAGTTCTATTCATAATTGCCAAACATGAAAACAACTCAAATGTCCTTTAGTGTAGGAGTGAATACAAACTGTGGTCCAGTCACATAATGGAATACTACTCAGCAATAAAAAAGAACACACTGGGCTTCCCTGGTGGCGCAGTGGTTGAGAGTCCGCCTGCCGATGCAGGGGACGCGGGTTCCTGCTCCAGTCCGGGAAGATCCCACGTGCCGCGGAGCGGCTGGGCCCGTGGGCCATGGCCGCTGGGCCTGCGCTCCGCAGTAGGAGAGGCCGCGACAGTGAGAGGCCCGCGTACCGCAAAAAAAAAAAAAAAAGAACTAAGAATACTATATTCAACAAACTGGATCAATCTCAAAGGCATTAGAGAAGATATACTATATGATCTCATTTACTTAACAGACTTGAAACAAAATTATGAGGATGAAGAATAGACAGGTGGTTGTAGGCGGTTATGATGGGGGAGGGAGCAACCATAAAGGGACCACAAGGGAATTTTCTGAGGTAATGGGACTGTTCTGTATCTTGATTACGGTACTGGTAACATCAATCTATAAATGTGTTAAAATTCATAGAACTGTACATCAAAATAAAAAATGATGTATAATTTAAAAAATAACATCAACTTGCTTAATTCTGATATCCAAAATGAGAGTAAGTTCAAAAGGTGCTCAGATACAAGATGTTATGCAAATTTGGTAGCCTCATATATTCACAAACCCCATTCACAACAGCAACAAAAATTATAAAACACTTTGGAATGAACATAACAAGAACTATGCAAAATCCAGATGAAGAAAATTATGAACCTTAAAAACAAAATCGAGACACACTTCATAAGCCTGGATAGAAACACTTGGTATCATTAAAACAGCAAATTGCCTCCCAAATCAGTTTATAAATTCAATTAATTTCATCAAAATTAATCCAATCAAAATTCCAGTAAGGCTGTTTTTAGAACATGGCAACCTATTTCTAAAATTCATCTGACTGGGTGTTCCCTGGGGGTCCAGTGGTTACCACTCAGCACTGTCACTGCCATGGCCTGGGTTCAATCCCTGGTCAGTGAAGTATGATCCCGCAAGCTGTATGGTGCCACCAAAATAATGAAATGAAATGAAATAAAATTCATCTGACAGAGTAAACTGCAAAAAAGAGCAATGAAATTTTTAAAAAATAAGAATAATCAGCAGGGGACTTAACCTACTCCAAAAAAATCAAAACGTACAATCAAAAGGTGCAGTAATAAAAACACCATGATATGGGTACAAAACTAAATAAATGAAATCAGAGAAACAAAAGGGAATTTAAATAAACGGGGGGAGAGAACAGATGATCTGGGACAAGCAGTAATGCACATAGGGGAAAAAAAATTAGAGCCCTACACCTCATACTAATCCCCCAAAACACATACCAAATGAATTAAACATTCAGATGCCAGCCACAGGAGTATTTGAAGAAAAAACAGAATCAATTTAAAAAATCCTGGAAGTAAACCTTTCTCACCAAGACATGAAACCCAGACAGATCAGACTGATGTCTGAAACACATAAAATGTTTAAATCGCTAAAATTTTAAAAGAGAAAAAGAAAAATGGATAAAGGATATACAACAGGAAACTTATTTTAAAAAGAAAATGACACAAATATACGAAAATATCATCAATCTAAGTAGTTATCAGGAAAAAGCAATCTTTTTTTAAAAATAGATTTATTGCTCATCTGATAGACAAAAATTATCTACAATGTTAGTAACGGTGTAGAAAAATGGGCACTCTCTCATTCCGGTAGGGCTAACAAAACAGTAAAACGTTCTCTCAAAACCAATTTAGCAGTACCTATTACAGTATCAAATATTCATCCCCTCTGACCCAGGACCTCCACACTTCTAGGAATTTATCCTACAGAAACACTCTTAACGAGAGCACAGAAAGTTATGTTAAAGAATGTTCACTGCAGATATTTGTAACAGCAAAAAAATCAGAAACCACCCAATGCCCACCAACGGGGGTGAACTACGGCACCAGCACACACTGGAAGATGACGTTCCATTAAACATAATGTCAGATCTATGAGCACTAAGATCCAGACGTGATCAAGTATGTTGCTAAGAAAAATTACCATTAAGTCCCATGAGTCCCTTTTTGTTAAAATAAACAAAAAGTTACTGTGTATATAAAAAACTGTGGTAATCTACACCAAACTGCTGAAAATGATCCTCTTTGAGGAGAGAAAGTTTAAGGAATTTTATTTTCTACATAACGAATTTCTATAATGTTTACATTTTATATGATTCTGGTTAAGACCTACAATAGGGGGAAAAAATTGTTTATTTCAAATTTTTAAAAAAGTGTTTTAATTTACGCACTATCTAGTCAGATTCAAGCCATTTCTGGAGAGAGAACCTACTAGATATAAACATGGTAAGCCACACTCCAGCACACATGTTATGTAAAAGGGGAGAGGGTCTGTCTGTCCCACTCCTCTTTTAACCCACCATCTCTACCTATGGAAGGAAACTGGCCAAGCAACCGCTCGAGATTGGTGGGGGAAATAAACTCAGAGGTTTTGTTCCTTATTTCAAAAATTTTTGATCAAGGGCAGCAAAGAAACCTGCACCCATTCATGCTATTTACTGATTCCAAAAGCAGTCCAGGCATCTCTACAACCAGGAGTCTTAACCAGGGAACTGTCACTAAAATTGAGATGAAATGTGAAGAGGCAAATTTTTAGTTACAGTCTTTACTTAAGACTGTAGTCTTAAGTAAAGACTTTAGTCTTTACTTTAGTAAAGTCTTTAGTAAGTCTTTACTCTAGTTAGCAAAGACCAATGCTCCCCAACCTTCTTCAGGTCCCAGCACACACAGAAAATCAGAATATTTGTAGGGCAAATTGTAGCAAACCCAGGGTGGGTCCTGCTCCAGCAGCCCTCAGCATGGTGGGCTGCAGGCATCAGTACCATGGCACATCGGTAATACCACCTTGGCACACATATCAGGAGGCTTTGGTACATGGGAAGCATTTCTTTATAAAGCTTCCTTCAAAAGTAACATGAAATTCATTCAATAAATATTTATTAAGTACCTAATATGTGCCAAGCATGATAAAGTACTGATGTCTACCCTATAGACTAGAGGGGGAAGACAGGTTAATAAGCAATTCCAACATAATTGTAATTGTAATAGTAAAACATAATTGTTTATGTAATTTTAATAGTAAAACATGCTATTTAAGGAAAGTATCAGGATTTTTAACATGAATCCCATGCCTGGGGAAAGGGAGTCTGTCAATGACTACTTTCCAGAAGTGACTCCTGTACAAAAGGGTGAAGTGTATTTTAGGCAAAGGAATTGCAGGTACAAAGATCCAAATGCAATAAACTATGTCAAAAATAAAGAAAAAGGCAGAACGGTTCTCTACTGCATAAGTAGAATGTGAGGAGGGAGTTAGTTTAGTAGCAGTTTCGTAAAAAAATATTTATTTATTAATTATTATTATTTTTGGCTGTGTTGGGTCTTAGTTGCTGCACTAAGACCTTTCTCTAGTTGCGGCAAGCAGAGGCTACTCTTCGTTGCAGTGAGTGGGCTTCTCATTGTGGTGGCTTCTCTTGTTGCAGAGCACGGGCTCTAGGCGCCCAGGCTTCAGTGGTTGTGGCACGTGGGCTCAGCAGTTGTGGCTCGCGGGCTCTAGAGCGCAGGCTCAGTAGCTGTGGAGCACGGGCTTAGTTGCTCCGTGGCATGTGGGGTCTTCCCGGACCTGGGATCAAACCCGTGTCCCCTTGCATTGGCAGGCGGATTCTTAAACACTGCACCACCAGGGAAGTCCCTATTAATTATTTTATTATCTATTTATTTTGGCTGTGCCAGGTCTTAGGTGAAGCAGGCAGGATCTTCACTGCAGCATGTGGGATCCTTTAGTTGCATCATGCGGACTCTTAGTCGCAGCATGCATGCAGGATCTAGTTCCCCGACCAGGGACTGAACCCAGGCCCCCTGCACTGGGAGAGTGGAGCCTTACCCACTGGACCACCAGGGAAGTCCCTAGTAGCAGTTTTTTGTTTTTAATTAACTTATTTTTATTATTTTTAAATTTTTGGCTGCGTTGGGTCTTCGTTGCTGTGCGTGGGCTTTATCTAGTTGCAGTGAGCGGGGGCTACTCTTCATTGTGGTGTGCAGGCCTCTGATTGCGGTGGCTTCTCTTGCTGCTGAGCACCGGCTCTAGGCACATGGGCTTCAGTACTTGTGGCCCGTGGGCTCCACAGAGCAGGCTCAGTAGTTGTGGCCCACGGGCTTGGTTGCTCCGCAGCATGTGGTATCTCCCCGAACCAGGAATCGAACCCGTTTCCCCTGCATTGGCAGGCATATTCTCAACCACTGGACCATCAGGAAAGTCCCCCTAGTAGCAGTTTTAATGGAAGCGTTTTTAATAAATACGGCATGTGGTTGAGTAGAAAGCCAATATCACAAAAATTAGGAAAGCATGTGCCTTCCTGCACAATAACCTATCAAACATAAGCTATGAGAAAAATATTTGGGGAGATGAAGAAACTTCTTGAGGATAAGTCTATAAAAACAGACAACACTATTGATTTTTTCAAGCACCATGAGCTTATAATGAAGTTAAAAATTTTTACTGTGGTGGTACACATTTACCACTGAAAAAGAACACTACCTCTTTTTAAATGCAGAAGATTATTCAAACTCAATATAATCTTTATAACATTTAAAGAAATGAGAAAGCAAAAGAACTCCCACATAATTAATACATAAGCTTCTTGTTCTTAAAAAAATGTTTAATTAGCCCAAATATATACATTCTTTTTCTTTCTCTCACATGGAACTAAACAGAGCAAGTGTACTAACAGAAATCAAGCATAATTTGTATTTACCTCTCTGCCCGTAAGGATGTGTCTTGCCAATTTCACTTTTGCAAAATTCCCCTTGCCGATTGTTTTCAACAGTCTGTAGTTTCCAATGTGAGGTTGTTCATCTGCACAGGAAGCTACAGAGTTTCTACATCGTGCTCCAGAGCGCCCAGTGCGAGAGGTAACTTCTTGCCGCCCGTCTCCATGTGACGTGTGCTACAATAAAACATACAACAAACATTAGGAAATGAGAGACCCACCGGTACTTGACAAGTTTTAAGAGCCTCTAGTTGAAGAAACAAAACATCACTGCTTTAATTTTAATCCCAATACATGTGGCACTTCAAAGGGATTTGCCCACCTGATATAAAGTTGTGAGGAAAACAAGAAAATGCTAAGAGAAATACCAAGTGTTGAAATTCAACTGGGTGTTCAGAAAGAAAGGAGATATTCTCTATATGTGGCTGTAACATAAAATAAGATAAACAGGACTGCCTTACAGTCGTAAAGAGCTTAATGTTTCCATTGTAAAACAACTATACTCCAATAAGAATTTTAAAAAAAAGAACTTGACTTTTTCATATGCTATTAAATGTACCAGCATATATTATCTTTAACACACCCTGTGATGCAGGCAGAACAGCTAATATCACCATTCACCAGATGAGGATACCCTGAGATTTATTCACTGCCACATCACTAGTGAGAAATTCAAAGAGAACCTAGATTCCCAACTTCTTTCTAAACTATGCTGCTAACAATAATTTAAAACAATGTGTTTAAAGACACAGCCAGACTCTGTAGTCCCTGACAAATATTTGTTGAAGAGATGAATACAGTACTCAATATACTCCATAAAGGTAAAACAAATCATATATGCCTCTGACCATATTAAATATAAAGGTATGAGAGATACAAATGCCTGATGTGTACAATTCTGTACGAAGAAGCAGCCAGCTGCCTAGTGCTTCCTCTTTCCCCTAGTGCCCAAAGGATGCCATGCCCCACTGCCTACTTTTCATGGCTGCTAACTCCTTCCTGCTCAAGGAAGGCCTCTCACTCTCACGACACTCTACAAAGACACTTTCAACCTCTTTCATTCTTTTCTCTTTTCCAACTTTTTGTCCAGGAAAATGTCCCTTGTTTCTCATGCTCTCTCTCTCTCTACCTATAGGTCAAAACAAGCCTGATTCTAGGTGATAAACCTAAGAAACTACACTTTGTAACACACTCATATCAAGGAAAACAGAAAAACAAGTATTTTACAGTAAAAGCTTAAGAATTTGTGCCATCAACTTAAGTCCTCAAAAGATGTCCTTTTCAGAATGCCCACGTTAATTTCTATCTACTTTTTCATATTCCTCTAAGTAAATCTCTGTCCCTCATGTACCAGGTTTTGGGATAGGTTCTCTTCTGTTTTATTCAATTATCACATAATACTGCATTGCAAACAACAATTTCTATGTTTTTTTACTGTAAATGTATATTTTAGGTTAAACAGACTTTTACAAACTGGTCACAAATCTAAACAACTCTGTTCCTATAACAAAAAGATTCTAATTTCCAAATTACAAAACAGCCTATTATAGGGTCTCCCCTGGTGGTTCAGTGGTTACAAATCCGCCTGCCAATGTGGGGGACACGGGTTCGAGCCCTGGTCCAGGAAGATCCCACATGCCGCGGAGCAACTATGCCCGTGTGCCACAACTACTGAGCCTGCGCTCTAGACCCCGCGAGCCACAACTACTGAGCCTGCGTGCCACAACTACTGAAGGCCATGTGCCTAGAGCCTGTGCTCCACAACAAGAGAAGCCACCGCAACGAGAAGCCCGCATGCCACAACAAAGAACAGCCTCCACTTGCTGCAACTAGAGAAAGCCCGTGCACAGCAACAAAGACCCAATGCAGTCAAAAATAAATAAAATAAATAAAATTTTAAAAATAGCCTATTATAAACGAGGACTTGATTAAAGAAAAAACTAAAATAACAACTAAGTTATTACACTAAGGCTTTACGCAAAATAGGTGTATTGTAATGCAAATTTTTATAGATCCGCTGGAGTACAGTTTTTAAAAAATTTTGATAACCATTATGTTTATTTCCAAACTAGATGTAAGTTTCATAAAAACAGGGACAGTAATTTATTGTTCCTTAGATCTTAGCAGTTGGCATATAACAGGTACTTAATAAGTATTGGAATGACTAAATAAATGATATCAAAATACTGATCACTGTAACATTCACATGGTTAAATTACAGGAAATTTTTATCTCCCAAATTTCTTTCTTCTATTCATTCATTCAAATATTTATCAAATGATAATGTATAATAGATTTTTAAAAATAAATTTATTTATTTTATTTATTTTTATTTTTGGCTGTACTGGGTCTTTGTTGCTGCACGCGGGCTTTTCTCTGGTTGCAGCGAGTGGCGGCTACTCTTCATTGTGCTGCACAGGCTTCTCAATGCAGTGGCTTCTCTTGTTGCGGAGCACAGGCTTTAGGCGCGTGGGCTTCAGTAGTTGTGGCACACAGACTCAGTAGTTGTGGCACACAGGCTTAGTCGCTCTGCAGCGTATGGGATCTTCCCGGACCAGGGCTTGACCCCATGTCCCCTGCACTGGCAGGCAGATTCTTAACCACTGCACCACCAGGGAAGCCCTGTATAATAGATGCTATATAAATATGAGCTGGGCACTTGTTTTGAGTGTTAGAAAGCAGTGCATAAAACAAAGTCCCTGTTCCTATGAGGTATATGTCAAGTGGTTTTACTATTTACGCAATGAAAATATAGTTTTAAAAATTACACTGCTATCCAAAATTTTGGTCAGAAAAGCTCTTTAAATGCAAACATACACTTTCTAATTTATATGTTTTATAAATTCAGCCCTTCATGTATTAAGTTTTATAGAGTAAGGTACAGTTAAACAGACAAAATATTAACTTTTATGCAAATCAACTGTCTTCTGCATGTAAAATAGAAATATCAGAAACTTAAAATTCATAGTCATCTAGTTTATACCTTTGCATACTCTCCGATCTACTTATAATAAAAACTAACTCCTTCTATATGTGGCTGTAACATAAAATAAGATAAACAGGACTGCCTTACAGTCGTAAAGAGCTTAACGTTTCCATTGTAAAACAACTATACTCCAATAAGAATTTTAAAAAAAAGAACTTGACTTCATATGCTATTAAATGTACCAGCATATATTATCTTTAACACACCCTGTGATGCAGGCAGAACAGCTAATATCACCATTCACCAGATGAGGATACACTACATCCACTAGCATGTAACCTGCAGGAGAACACAGAGATCTTTGCCTGTTTTGTTCCTTATCAGATATTCCCAGAAATTGGAACAGTGCCTGGCACATAGTAGCTGTGCAGTACATTGTTGCTGAATGAATGTTAAATGAATTCAAGGCCCTCTGTGATGTAATCCATGCCTCCTCTCCCGCTACATCATCCACTATTCTTTAGCATGATCCTCCCTCAGTTTGAGTGCCCTTTCTTCTCTTCAAACCTAAGAAAATCCTACTCATTCCCTTATGTTTGAGTCATTTGTCACCATCTTTATGAAGCCTTCCATGACTCTCCCTGCATTCCACCAGAATTTCTTTTCCTTTGGGCTCTGGATGTTCTCTGCTTGTATCTATCTCTATTTGGCTACTTTGTTGTAGACAATTATCCACCACAATACACTGACTTCCCAGAGAAACTCACACCCCTCACTTGAGGTTCCCAATAGCCATGTGCCTAAGATTGGTCAATGAGATATGAGTGAAAGTGACATGTCATTTCCATGCTGAAGCATTTATTGCCAGGGCTTGACTCCAGCCCTGTGGTCTTCTGTCCTGAACCCAGAACACTGTCCAAAGATGGAGGGTCACAGGACCAAATGGCCTGGAAATGGAGATCACTCTTCATGGAGTCAATGAAGTTGACAGTTTTTTTAAACTGTATTAAGACACTAAGATTTTGGTCATGTATGTTACCTCAGCATAACCTAGCCTAACCTAATACACCCTTATGCAAATAAATAATCATAATACAAACCCAAAAGAAAGCCGTACTTCCTCTTAAGAGTGTAAACTCATATAACAGATTGAAATATCTGATGTTTGTTAAATTCCAATAGTTACTGAACTTAGTATATTTAGTTTGATACATAAAGTCCTGAAATTTTAAAATCTAATGTGTTTAACTAAAAAATTCTCAGGGCTTCCCTGGTGGCGCAGTGGTTGGGAGTCCGCCTGCCGATGCGGGAGATGCGGGTTTGTGCCCCGGTCCGGGAGGATCCCACGTGCCGCGGAGCGGCTACACCCGCGGGCCATGGCCGCTGAGCCTGCGCATCCGGAGCCTATGCTCCGCAGCAGGAGGGGCCGCAGCAGTGAGAGGCCCGCGTACTGCCAAAAAAAAAAAAAAAAAAAAAAAAGATAAAAAAAATTTCTCTCAAACAGAAGCAAATTAAATTGCCTTTTCTTGGCCTTCATTTTATTTTTCCCATGCATCCATCAGTGGCCCTAAAGAAGAAAAAATTTCCTAGCATTTTAACAAATAATTTTGAATTCTTGTACTATTAGCCAATTACTTCATGCTTGAATTTTTTTTCTCCCTAAGGTGACAATAAACCGAGGACCAAAAAAAAAAAAAAAAAAAAAGTTACATAATAGTAGCCACTTTTTGTGGCAGCACTGAACACACAACAGGCACTCAGAGCTGTTTAATCTCAAAGATTAAAGGAGTCCAGGGACTTTCCTGGTGGTGCAGTGGTTAAAAATCCACCTGACAATGCAGGGGACACAGGTGTGAGCCCTGGTCCAGGAATATCCCACATGCCGCGGAGCAACTAAGCCCGCATGCCACAACTACTGAAGCCGCGCGCCTAGAGTCCGTGCTCCGTAATAAGAGAAGCCACCGCAATGAGAAGGCTGTGCACTGCAACAAAGAGTAGCCCCTGCTCGCCGCAACTAGAGTAACCCTGCACACAACAACAAAGACCCAAGGCAGCCAAAAAAAAAAAAAAAGAAAAAAAGATTAAAGGAGTCCTGATCCTTCTCCTTCTCAAGGAATTGACCTGAACCACTTTATCCACCATGAAAACTAGAATATGGGCAGTGCTACTAAAAATTAGGCAGAATCAAGTCAAAGAGAGAACACTGTTAACAAATCCATAAAGTGTTCATTTTCAAACTAAAACTTCCGTT